CTTTGCCAAAATGTCTTTCCACAGACATTCGAGGCAGAAGAACTCAGTGATCAACAAAAAGCACCACAGATAAAACACAAGGCAGACTTGCAGGATGGAAAGGCAAGTGGACTGCATGTACTTAAAATTTCAAGATCGTCAATGTCACACCACTGGAAACAGCCTGCTGACAATCAGGGCTAATTTGGGTAGGCAGATAGGTAGGATCTGGGTTTTTAGGGTTTATTAGATTTATGACCTGCTGAGACATTGCACTTCTTTCCTGGAACCTCTTATTCCTTTAGCTCTCTTCTTTCATCCCAGGCTCCCAAATCCCCCTCATCACCTAGGAAGACTGAGAGTGAACTGGAGAAATCATTTGCAGAGAAAGTGAAGGATATAAGGAAGGTAGTACAGCCATTCTGAATGGTAGTGGCTTTTAGAACTAGTAAATTAGAAATCTTTAATGTTGCAGTAATTTGCCCAAGCTATGGTGTGCTCTTGGACCAATTTTTATAGATTTGGTTCCCCTGTGTTACTATATTTAAGTCAGAGTGATATCACAAGTTTCTGGGAAATCATATTAGGAAAAAGTGAGAGAAGCTATACCAACAATGATAACTCTGCAACAGCTAAATGATGTCAGAACTCCTGTTCATTTGTCTTTGAAAATGTATTCAGTTTTTCAGGTATTATGTTTGTATCTCATCTTCCCATAAACAACTCACCAACAGAAAATAACTCTATTCATTTGGCTTTTAGAGGGTGGCTTGTACAGTTGAGGCCAATTAAGAGAATCCTGCAGTTAAAGTCAATTTAATAGTAAATTGTGACACTATAATTTTGCTATAAGGCTTTTGCAGCATATTGAGAAAACTGATTTCTGATCTCAATTTACTTTGTCACCCAGAGGCTCTTTCTTCCACCAGGAAAAGCAACAGAGGAAAATGGAACGGGTCAAGTATCAGGAACAAAACAACATCCTTCAGGTACTAAGGTCTTCCAAGGCTGGATGTAGGATGCAATTTCATTCATATAATACAAAGGCTTTTAGCTGCATATTGTGAAGCCCAGTCCCCACATCCTAGATTACCAATTGCCCTGCTAAAACAAATGTGTCATAGAAAGATAGCTGAAGGGATCTATCTCTGAAATTGGAATAAATGGTATTTCTTCCTATGTTCTTGATTTTGTTCTATTCTAAATGGGGAAAAATAACAAATACTTTCTACCCAATTTTTAAAGACTGAGCATGATGGAATTACTTTTTAACTTCTGAGTAAAGAGGATTCAGGTAACAATGGATTCAGAGGAGCCAATCCTATATGTGTAGTTTTGGAAAATGTTCTTTTCAGAATGATTTTCATGGCAAAGTGATTCAGCTGAGAATTGAAGCCTTGAAGAACTACCAGAAGGCCAATGACCTGAAATTATCACTGTATTTGCAGCAGAATTTTGAGCCAATGCAAGCATTTTTAAATCTTCCTGGGTCCCAAGGTAGGTAGAATATCCCAGGTACACAGTTTGAGGTTTTGTTTTGTTTGTTTTATATTGGAGACCTTTACTTGTAAAGTGAGCAACATAATGCCTGGCACATAGTAAGTTAAATGTTAGTAGTACAGTAACAATTTTTTTCATTATTTTTATTTCTTTATTTATTTTGAGACAGAGTCTTGCTCTGTTGCCCAGGCTGGAGTGCAGTGGCACGACCTCGGCTCACTGCTACCTCTGCCTCCTGGGTCCCAGTTCAAGCAATTCTCCTGCCTCAGCCTCCCGAGTAGCTGGGATTACAGGCATGCAACACCATGCCCAGCTAATTTTTGTATTTTTAGTAAAGACGGGGTTTCACCATGTTGGCCAGGCTGGTCTTGAACTCCTGACCTCGTGATACACCCACATTCTACCTCCTAAAGTGCTGGGATTACAGGTGTGAGCCACCGCGCCCGGCCTATCATGACTTTTATGACTCAGAAGCTTATGTACTAAGGCAAATATTCTCTCTGGGAGAATTGTTTTCCTTTGTAAAGATAAAGTAATATATTACATACTTAGCATATGTAGCTGATACATAGTTAGCACTCAATAAAATATGTTTCCTTTCCACCTCATCCCCTTTTCTAGGAATTAGAATTGTTTAATCTTATTAATCTGGCTGGAACAGACTCTGCTACTTCAAAGTAGGCGGCCAAGGAGACAGACATCTGACAATGGTTGTGAATTTCATCCAGTTGTCCCTCTGAGAGTTTCAGCGATTTCCCCACAGAATTTATGGCAATATTAGAGAAAATAATATAGTTCATTAAAAAATAGAATATAGCGGTGTCTCTGAGGACAGGGAAAAGGTTCTTAAATTTTCACGTTATCTATGAATATGAACTCCATTTTTTAAAAGGGACAGGCAATGGGAAATCATGGCCAAGGGATGACAATGTTCTATTAGTATCAGTGTGTATGTTTCCAATTTCTTAGTCTTATTCTGTAAAGGGCTTAAACAGCTTATAAAAATCACAGTCAACACATAGGGTTAAATAAATATATGAGTAAATCAAAGAAAAGGGAAAATAAGTTGAAGCTGGGCAAATACACAAGAATGCATAATGGGAGTACTGTACAGCTGGCAGAGGTAGGCTACAAATTTGGTTCTGAATTTTCCAGTAAAAAGAAACATGGATTTGCAAAACTCATGAAATAACAACAAACCAATTAATTGCTCAGGAGAAACAGTTTTTCCTGGTGTTGAAATCTGAGAGAAATTTCTCCTCCAGGACCATATAATGGGGGCAGGACATTGTGTGATGATAGTCGCCAATGTCTTCAACAATATTTCAAAATAAATTCAGAATCCAAATTTCCTAGGTTGTTTCTCCTCTGTTCTTTGGCATAATCTGATAAAAAACATATTAATCTGAATTTTTTTAAGTGATGAATTGACTCAAGATGATTTGATTCAGGTACATAAGACTCCCTGGTCTGGCTTGATCCACAGGTAAATTTTAGAAAACTAGAAGACTGGACTGACTATCCTTCAGGCAGTATTCCATGCATATTTTTCTTTCAACTTATGTTCTAATAATAATCGGACAGCATAAAATTGGAAAGAAACCTGGAATGCAACCAGAAGCAGTATTAAATCATTAAGATACAAATTTAAAAGATAGAGGAGAAGAGGGTTATGAGGAAGACAGATCGGTCCCTGTTTTACTTCATTCAAAATTAGCTGAAGGTCATCTCAAGGGATCTATAGGGTAAAGAGCCAAAAGCTTTTTAGCTCCAGAATCAAATTAAGTCTAAATTAGTAAATAAGGGTTCCATTCAACTTGATTGTTTCAGGAGATATTTTTTCCCCTTGCATGTAAAACATTGAATCAACTTTGAATTGTAACAGCCACAGATCCACACCTTCTTTTCTTTGCTTTCCTTTTATGTTCCTGGAGAATTAAATGATAGGGTATCATACTGCTTAGTTACCACAGATTAATGTAGCCACAGGCAATGGATCAGTGTGTTATATTGATTCTGCATTCATTTAGCACTAATTATGGGCCAGTTTCATTTTTTAACACACGTATTCAAACTCTATAGGTTTGTCTGAGCACAAGTGGATTTGAAATCTAATGGAGTCCTATATTTTGCTTATGTGGCCTATTTTTTTCACCTCTGGTATTTGATTATTGAAAAGACAAATATTCTCTTCATAAAGGATTTTAAAAGTAATTATGTAAAGAAGTTAATACCAACAGTAATAATTTCTTAATGGTAGGTGTTGTAGTATTTTCCAACTTTGTGTATCACTGGGGCTATTATTTATTATTTGCTGTTTACACTGATTTCTTTAGTTTCCTAAATGCATTCCTTGAAAGTAAAAGTTTTATTACTACTTTAAATGAAGAATCAATATAGTTTTCCATAATAGAAGGTAAACTTCATAATAAATACACACAAAAAAACAAGATTTTAATGTTCTAGAAAAATACATAAGCCTGAGATCTATTTTATCTCCTATAGGAAGTGAGATTAGAAAGACATAGAGAATTTTGGCCAGGCACGGTGGCTCATGCCTGTAATCCTAGCACTTTGGGAAGCCAAGGCAGGTGGATCATGAGGTCAGGAGATCGAGACCATCCTGGTTAACATGGTGAAACCCCATCTCTACAAGAAAATACAAAAAATTAGCCAGGTGTGGTGGCACATGCCTATAGTCCCAGATACTCAGGAGGCTGAGGCAGGAGAATCGCTTGAACCTGGGAAGCAGAGGTTGCAGTGAGCTGAGATCGCACCACTGCACTCCAGCCTGGGTGACAGAGCAAGACTTTATATCAAAAAAAAAAAAAAAAAAAAGACAGAGAATTTTAAAGAAAGCCAGCACCAAACTGCAGCTTTCTCCTTGATGCCATCAAGTTTGAAATAATTGAAAAGGCAATAATTTTCTCACTGTGATTTATAGTATTTAATGCCACGTTCCAACACTGAAACTTATCCCAATTGCCACCTAAAATCATCTCATCATCAAATTTTGGCAAATTGTAATTTAAGGAAAAAAGCATGAATTTAGACCGAGATACATGAGTTGCAGGCCTTCCTCTGAGGCTCACCAGTTATATGACTTGGGAAAGTCACTTAATTTCAGTTTTTAAAAATACAAACAATACTAACATGGAGTATGTTAACAACTTAATATCTTGTGTAACCCTCACAGTGACTCTATGAAAGGTATTATAGAACAAGAAACAAGCTCAGAGAAGCCAGGCTTCTGGCTCCATATTCAATCCTTTTTTTTTTTTTTTTTTTGAGACGGAGTCTGGCTCTGTCGCCCGGGCTGGAGTGCAGTGGCCGGATCTCAGCTCACTGCAAGCTCCGCCCCCCGGGTTTACGCCATTCTCCTGCCTCAGCCTCCCGAGTAGCTGGGACTACAGGCGCCCGCCACCTTGCCCGGCTAGTTTTTTGTATTTTTTAGTAGAGACGGGGTTTCACCGTGTTAGCCAGGATGGTCTCGATCTCCTGACCTCGTGATCCGCCCGTCTCGGCCTCCCAAAGTGCTGGGATTACAGGCTTGAGCCACCGCGCCCGGCCCATATTCAATCCTTATTTGCTAGATTATGCTACAAAATGGATGTGTAAAAGTATGTGACTTTTCATGCCTCTTCTAGATCTAAACGCTATAATTTGAATACAAATTTATTATCTGTTTATAATGTATAATCTTCCCAGTGAAGAATCATACTCCCTAAGGTTAATTTGTTGAGCAGGAGATTGGTAATTCTGCATTTAGCCCAGTAGGTGGCACCAACCACATCCAGGCTTCAAGTCCACAGAGTGGTAATTCAGGAACCATGAAATGCTGTGGGAGAGATCCGTCTTCTATTACTCTCAGGACAAAAGGTGCCACATTTATGTATCAAACGAAAAAAGGAAAAAATTTCTTGATGTTTTATCACACGGTCTTTTGGCAGCAAGGTATATTACTGGCAGCCTTGATTAGACCATGTTAAACTCAGTGTTCTGTTGCATAATTTTTACCTAGTATTTTACTCCCTGTACTACAGTTCTCTCCATTTCAAAAAAGTCACTGCCCACTTCCTCCACAATCTTTGTAGAATAGTGTTCCCTTCTACCACAGATAAATCACGTGATTGGGGCACTAAAATGAAAAATAAAAGATGGTGTTTATTTGAAGTTTGTATACTTAATAGTGTTATAGGACAGTGTTCCTTCTTCTCTAGTTTCAAAAGAATTGAACTGCACAAACCTGTCTTAGAGAAAGGGCAGAACATAATTTTGGACACACCTCTCAGTAAATCAGGGTACAGGCTCTTCTGTTCTAAGCATTTCCAAGTAGAGGAAGGGTTTACCTCAGTACCCTTAGCCAAGAACTCCTCCTCCCACTGTCCTATGTACTGGTTGGCTGAGTTGCAGTGGTATGATCTGTGTAGCTGGCAAAATACAATCCTGTGCTAATATTACTGATTTTGTTACACATCAACAAATCCCTACTTTTGAATTCCCTTGATGCCCAGGATGTGGCATTACCATCATCCATGTTATCTTTGGCATGCTGCATCACTTAGTCTGTTTACACCTACGGTGAAGTCTTTACTTTTGATTTTTCTGGAGACAGGTGACATTTGAAAGGATTTACTTTCCCACCAGTGTAAAATTATAATTTGACTCAGGGTGTATTGTAGGCCCTCCCTAACTTCTACAGAGTCCAGAAAGCAAGTTTGTGGACTTTGGCAGTCACCTATCTTAGAAAGCACAGGCGCTAAGCAATCTCTAAATTCAACTGAATTTCCCATCATATCTCCTGGTGTTTAAAGAAGAGGTTTATCTTCAGCAATGATATAACTTGTGTTAAGACATTTGATTCTGACAGCTTTTCTTTTCTCTCCTCCCCTCAATCCCCACCAACTCTTAGCATTTCCTTGAGGTCTTCTGAGAAAAACCTGAAGGTTGGTTGTGAGTATTATGCTACACTTATAAATTCAGATGAAAGCCCAGCGAGGTGGGAAATGAATACTCTTGAAACCTTATTTACTCTCTAACTCCTTCTGTTCTGAAAGCAAGTCATTCTTCCTGGCTTTAACCTTTACTTCACTTTAGTATTTTTCTTCCTGATGGCTGAACTATACTTCAGCAGGTGCTGCTGAAGGGAAAATAGTAGTGTTAAGCTAAAATGCTGAAAGGCAGGGGCGGAAAACCACAGCTAGCTCAAATCCGGGTCCTTGATAAGTAGTACTGTTGCTTTCAAGTACAGGCTTTTTCAAGCTTTGAGGCAACATGAACCTTTTGAATGTCAAAGTTAGGTTTATGGTATTAATAGGTTATAAAGTTAATTTCTAAACTAAGTCATTCTTTTACTTAAGACCTCACAGAAATTCAGGGGGAGAAAAACTTTTTTTTTTACCCTAAATATAAATTTTGAAGCTTGTCAAAATAAACTGTACCCTTATTAATATTATTTTAATGGGTGACAACAAATTCCATAATTTGTGGGCATCACCCACTCAGGAGTGCAGCAGTATGTCTAGGAAAGTGTTATCATATTTAGCAAATAAAAAAAGATACCCTATTAAATTTGAATTTCACCAAATAATTTGTAGTATGTGTGTCCCAAATATTTCATGAGATATATGAAACATTATTTGCTGTTTATATTAAAATTCAAATTTAACTGGGAGTCCCATATTTAAGTCTGGCAACTCTAATTTAGGACAGACTTACTATGGGTCCTACTGAGCACCCTATAATTCTCCCTTTTTCTCCTTTTCATTGCCTCCCTTCCCCTTCTCACCCTACGCCTGCCATTCTCTATGCTTCCTCTTTCTCTTCCCCCATCTTTATCTTTTGTTTACTCTTCACTATCTACAATTGACCATTTTTGTGAAATATATCTATCTGGTTTATCTGAGGGTATGTATATATACACATAACTTATTATTCCACTTTTTTATTTACTTGCATGTAATTCTTAAATGAATTTTCCCCCTGTGGGACATGAGCTCTAAACAGAAAAATAGTCTGCCACTCCAACTTCTTAAATAATGTTTGACAAAGTTATTTTCAAAAAAAAAAAAATCAAAAAATTCACATCAATGCTAATACCCACAGTGATACAAAACAAAACAAAACTAATTTTTTGTTTTTCTGTTTTTCCCTCCTCAGAAGAAGCTCTTGTTTTCCTAATGTTTTCCCTTAGGTACTATGGGCACTACAACTATGGACAGAGTGACTACTGGCAGAAATGAACACCAAGTGGTGAGAACTACTTTCTTTAAACAAACCAAAAATCATTTTAAGGGCTTGAATAGATAGTGGGTATAGACTTTTGGAATGCATTGCTTAACATATATTCTAATTTAATATTTTAGGAGATTTGCAAAGTGGGTGCTAGGGTACTCAATATTTTAGCTGTCCTTTTTCCTCTGTTTTTTCCTGTCTTAGAGAATTCTGGGAGCAAAGATCTACACAGAACAAGGAACTAAAGGAAGTCAGCCTGATGATGCAGGAGGGAGGCTCTTTTTTCTGAGGTCACTGTCAGATGAAGCACTGAAGAATTTGCAGGCTTTCACTCCATTTGCTTTGGACAGATTTAAAGACAAGGCATAGCCATTTGTGTTAATTAAAATCTCTCAAACCTTTGTTTTAGTGCTGTTTTCCCTCTCTCCCCCCACAAATCTGGGTGGAAATGTTGGATGTTTGGCCTTAAACGTGTATGGAATGTAGTCATTTAGGGATTGTAAACAGCCTCTGATTATTTTGATAGCTTTTGGATTTGAAGTGACCACATTTCAACCACATTGTACAATATGTTTTTACTAAGTCCATAAAAAGGAACTCCCCTCCACTTCTGAAGTATGTAATTGTGGACAGATCCACCACTGGGAAATGAGCAAAAGTAGGCACAAAATAAGTAAAATTACATACCACAGACTTCTTTCACTCTCTCACCAAAAACATCAAAATGCCCTGTTGATTCTGCCACCTTGTTATCTATTCCTTGAGTATCATCCACCTTCCTAGTACCACTGTGGTTTTTTACTTGTTTTTGTTTTTTCCCCTAGGCCCTCCTTCCTGCCTGGATTACTATAGCCTCTTAATTGGTTTCCCTGCTTCCAATCCCTCTAATTCGTCTTCCACAGTACCACTGAAGCTATCTTTTATAAAACATAAATGAGATCATGTCACTCCCCTACTGGTTTCTTGCTGAAGTCCAAGGTCCTTCACAGACCATAAATGATCTGCCTCCTGTCTACCTTCTCCGTCTCATTGTTCACTATGTACCCCTTCTCTCATACATTCCACATTGAGCTCCACATTACTGTTAATATTTACAGTTCTCTCCCCATGTATCATGAGTTCTATTAGCTCCACGCACAAAGTGGAAAGACACTTCTATCCTGTAGCTATGACCATTGCCTGTTTGTCTCAAGGACTGAATGTGCTGCCCTTCTATCCCACTAATTCTCAATCCTAGCTGTGTACTGGAATCCCCTTAAGAACTTTGAAAAATAGCATTCTACTGGGTCACACCCCAGATAATTTAAATTATGGTAACTGATCGATAGGACAAAAGCATCCGTATGCTTTAAAAGCTTCTCAGGAAATTCTAAAGTACAATCAGGTTTGAGACTTGTTGCTAGGCTCTCTTACTTTTGTCATAGCACTAAATCAATTCTATTGCAATTATTGATTTATCCAGCTACCTTCCTCACAAGGTCGTGAGCTCTTTGAAACCCGGTATTCTATCTCGTTATCTTTTCATTTGACTGCCTAACACAGTGCGTAGTATTTTAAAGAGGCTCAGTAAATGACATGTAGAAGGCCACAGAAAGTTAATTTCCAAGTCCCAGGTCTCTTGATGTCCTGCCTTGTGTAAGTTACCACTGGATTATATCATAGTTCCTGAGATCTTCAGATATTTTCTTCTCCTCTAAGTTGTCATTAATCTCCTATCTCATGTCAGTATAGAAGAGTTGATTTGTCACAAAACACTTCATAATCTGTAGGAATCCCTCATACTTTCTGGTAATAAGCAAAGTGAGCCAGCCAATTCAAAATCTTCTTTTTCTCAAAGTCAATTTAAATCTTTAAAGACGCATTTTAAAGATGAATTTTTTAAATGTACTTTTGCACTGGAAAAGGTTTACAAGAAATCACAGAATTTTGGCATTAGAAGGAACTTTAAATAACTATAAAGTTTCCTTTGCTTTCCAAAAAAAGAAACTGGAGTTCAGATACATTGAAAAGGTGTCTAAATTCCTTCAGTTAATTGGAGCCAGAGCTGGTTACCGGAGCCCAGGTATTAATACTGCCAGTTCATATTCCAATCTAACTTGTATCTTTCCTCTCCTAACCACAAAAATAATGGGCTCTTAAACACTGAGGTGATTACTTTCATATTCTACCAACTGAGTTAGTGGAGTATGTAATTTATATTGTTTCAAGAAAGCCATCACTGTACTTATTTAGTCCCTGGGAGATTCTGGCAGTCCTGAGAGATTTTCCAAGTCAATTGGATTAGACGGAGCAATGAGAACAAAAGATAAAAATAGAAAATCTGAATGTACTACTGATTACCTTGAACTAGTCATTTAACCTTAGGGCTTTAGATTCCGAATTTTAAAATTAAATTAAAAGACTATCATTTGAATGTTTTAAAATTATGTTGTTGTTGTTGTTTTTTAACCACTACAATGAGTTTGGATTAGTATATGACCTTCCCCCCACTGCTTTTTTTTTTTTTAACTAACACATGGAATAAAGTAGTTTACTTGGTAGCTGAGGTTGTAACTTCTTAAAAAGTGAATTATTTGCCATTGTCAAAGTATTTACATTCTATGTTCATTATCAGTCAGGCTTAACATCTTTCCCTCAAATGTTCCAAATCTTTCCATTTTTTCAAAACACAAAACTGGGATAGCCTGTTATTCTACTTTGTCTTTAGGACTTCATATTGGATTCTGACTTTCATAAGGGCAGCATAAAGTTATCAGTTAGATTGGGTGACTCCTCATGAGTGTCTGCATTTCAGTGAATCCAGGAAATGGATCTCAGTTTTGTGAGTACAGACAAATTCATATGGTCAACTTATTCAAAAGGTCAGAGAGTTATTCAAGCAACTTAAACTCCCTAGAGATTAACTGATACATCCAATATTAAATTACAGAGAGGGCTATACCTTACAACTTGGTGGGAATATGTCTATATGGTCTATATTTAGGGTATTCCTATCTCCAAATCAAGTTATAGTAAACTGAACTAGTAATCAAAAAGTACCTGGGATTGAAACATCATTATTATAGTTTTATTTGTACTCATAATATTCTAATTATATTCCTCTGAGAATAAAATCTCTGATAACCTTAACCCCATATGGGCAATACTTTTCAAGTTCAAGGTCAATTGAGGAAAAACCTGTTCCACCAGCAATACATTTACAAATCATAACTTTGGGTAGACTACTTTTGTAGCTTATCTCATTTATTTTATCTTGACTTTCTAGCTATGTAGAGGATATTGGCTAACATTCTACCCCAAAAAGTTGCCTTTCTGCATTGCCAGAAAGTGATTAGTAATGTTTGTCACACTTCTTTCCTAAATGAAATAAGGCCAACAACAGCTTGATACTTTCATCTTTAGTCTAGAATTACAATAATCAAAGAGGGGAAGCGACAATGCACAACATTTTGCCTTACACTCATAGATCCAGGCAGAAAATCTAGTTTTAGTGTTGTTTATGTGAACAATGGCCACCTTAGATGGTGTCTCTCCTTTTATTGGTAGAGGCTTCTGTAATCTGTTGCGCAACAAGTAAAATCTCTATTGGTCCCTCTGGCACCTTGGAAGGAGCCTGCATTGCTACCAATTCAAAGTCCCTATTGCTTCATATGTTCTGTATTTAGTCAACAAATATTAGGAAATGGGAAGAGAACAAGGTCCTGTGCTGGAAAGGGAGGCTTGCTCTGCAACCAATCAATTAACGGCAGGAGATGCACAGGCAGATACATATGACATATAATTATTACACGGTAAAATTGAGAATCTTCAGGCCAACTAAAAAATCCATCTTCTCTACTTCTTTCACAAATTCACTTATGATTCCTAACATGAAAACTTACTTAAGGTTCATTTTAAGTATAAAACATGATATAAACATTCCTAGAAACTGTATTTCCCCCAATTATTAGTCAACCTGGGGAAAATGAGATTACTTAGGTTAACAAAATAAGTTTTGTTTTGTACATTGCTTTTTAAGGAAAAATATTTTTCTGGGGACGCTGGGCTTTAAGATAAATTTTAGTTAAATGGAAACCAATGAACAACGGTAGAAAAGCACGATGCTTTTGATTTTTCAAAAGGTCCATTTGAAGTCAATCCATGTCAGTTTTTAAGCTTGAAACTATCTTTTCTTGATATATATACTGAATCCTAAAAACTGAAGGCATTGCAGACAGAGCCCTTTTAAGAAATCAAATAGCTTCTGGGGCAATTAATATTATTTTCCGATTTAGCAAATCTCATTTTCCTTTCCCATATCTAAAAATCTTTCCCTCTTCTAGAAAATACTGCCCTTCTCTTCTATGGTGTACCTTTTTTTTTTGTTTTTGTTTTTTTCAGGAGGGAGAAAAATCAGTGCTTTCTTTAGAAATCAAATTTTTTTCTTCCTGGTTTTCTTATCAGATACACAGCCACATAAATAAGTGGAAACATTGTACATTTGTAAATGTCAGTACATACCTAGGAAGAACTTCTTTACCTTCTGAATATTAATATGTGACTATGTAGGTAGATTTAAAGGTATATAAACTGGAGTGCGCAGGAAAGAATAACCTCTATGGTATAAGGGAGAGAGACGAGTTTGGTATTTGCTTTATACGTGCTTTGTGGATTGGTACATGATGTAAATCTATGATTCTCAGTTTTGGTTCCTGGGATCTTTTACATTCTTAAAAACTGAGGACTTTATGGAGCTTTTGCTCATATAGGTGATATGGTTTGGCTCTGTGTCGTGTCCCCACCCAAATATCATCTTGAATTGTACTCCCATAATTCCAAGGTGTTGTGGGAGGGACCCGGGGGGAGATAGTTGAATCACGAGGGTAGTTTCCCTCATACTGTTCTCATGGTAGTGAATAAGTCTCATGAGAGCTGATGGTTTTAACAGGGGCTTCTGCTTTTGTGTCTTCCTCATTCTCTCTTTGCCTGCTGCCATCCACGTAAGATGTGACTTGCTCCTCCTTGCCTTCTGCCATGATTGTGAGGCTTCCCTAGCCACGTGGAACTGTGAGTTCTCTATTAAACTTCCTTCTTTTGTAAATTGCCCAGTCTCAGGTATCTCTTTATCAGCAGCATGAAAACAGACTAATACAGTAGGTTACATACATTCAAATTTCCAGAATAAAAATTTTAAATATACTATTTACTATAATGGGGTACTGATCTAAATAATACCCTAGAGCCAGATGCTGTGGCTTGCATCTGTAATCACAGCTACCTGGGAGGCTGAAGCAGGAGGATATCTTGAGGTGAGGAGTTTGAGACCAGCTTGGGCAACACAGAGAGACCCTGTCTCTCTTAAAAAAAAACGTATATATATTTGTGTGTGTATACACACACACACACACACACAGCCTAGCGAA